ATATATATATATATATAGATAGATATATATAATCAATATGTTTATATTACCCTGAAAAAAAAAATTAGTGCATACAATTGCACTGATTAGCTCAGAGTGATGGTCACACTGATGGTTTGCTTTCAGCAGTATGGTTGTTCTTGCTATCGGTAATAAACTATATGTTTCTGATGATGGGGTAAAAATAGCATAAAGAATTCTTTTGTCTAATTATTTTAATTAAATTTTTTCCAGCTCACAAGAGGTGATGCTAAACCTTTCAATTTTACCAAAAGGAATTCATAAATTATATCCAAATAAAATATTTCATTGCATACTGTTTTGTTGCCAGGTGAAAGGGAGCATAGATTTTTGAATATTTCTCATTGTTTTCGTTTCTAAGTCTTTAAATATGTCAACATTTTGGTTAATATAATGAAATGTAGGTCTGGATTGCCATGGCATTATTAGTCAATTATGTAGTTAATCTGTGTCTTTTTTTCTGAAAAGACTCCTATGAATTTAAATGTTAGCAAGGGGTAAATTGAAGGAAAAAAGCCAAAATTGCCAAAGTAGACAGAATAATGTTTTTCTTCTTTACTTTTTTGGAATACTGAAGATCTTACTGATCTCTGTGTGATAAGGTGATCAGATTTCTGAACTCCAATCTGGGGACATTTCCAGCTTGTAAATAAAAATAAATGCATTTCATGAAAATTATAACAGGAAAAGGGGACAGTGATGCTTTCATTCATTTTTACATATCTATTTATATCTAAACAACAAAAATCAAGCAATTCAATTTGGATGTTTTCTAAGACAAGACAAACTGTTGGGCTACTCTATAAAACTAACTCAACGATAATTCTGATATTTTTGCAAAAAGCTTCCTGGTTCGGAAGAGATTTGTCTTCAAACTTAAAAAACAAAGTCCAGTGGGTTGTTTTTATTTTTTTTACTTTTTTGGAAGCATACATAGGCTAATTAATAGTCTATCGGTCTCCGCCAGTCACGTGACTTTTGTTGCTAAGACGCCATTTTAGTTGGAAAAGGTGTAGTGTAAACAACCGCAGCATAGCTAAACGAAGGACTAAAGGCCTGTTTACATAGCAGCCTGTCCAAGATAAGTCATTACAGTTAACATAAGCCTGAAAACAGGGGCGG